TTGGATCTTATGAGTTTTAAAGCATGAGTTACTTTTTAGGACCCCTGTCTTTCATCAGTACCTAAATAAAAATTATATTCATTAAGTGGTCTGACATCTTCTTGACACTGAAATTGGGAGAGTCCTTTTAACCTGCATGCTGGGATGCAATGAGAACAGACCTATCTGCTGGTTTTCTATTACAGATGAATGATTGCTGGTCGGGGCTGGGATAATAAAGTAATTTAATTTTGGACATTGATTAACTTCTTAATTCAGATGTTGGGATCCTTTTCTATCCAGGTCAACTCATGAGGATTTGGTGAGATGAATTTTATAAGCAAACAAGAAATGTGTTTGCCCAAGCCCAGGGAACTGCCCTGAGCTGTTGCTTACAAGTTCTTTCCTCTCTGCCTGGAATCAGAGTGAACTTCGTAGCCTTTAGGCTGTGCTGTTAAATCTGGGGCACTCAGAGTCAGAGGGCCCTTTGCTTCTGACTTGCTTCACACCTAAGGCTCTCCAACACCTCTTTCATGAGAGAAGAGAAATAAGGGGGGACCAAATTCCCATGTCTGAATTCTTGTTCTTGAAGGAAGTCTCTGTAGTGCCCTTACGAGTAAGGGCAGGATCCCACCATTCCCTCCACATATCAATCTCCTTCCAGAAGCAGCTCCCTGAGATATTTGCACAGTAATTTTGTGTTCTGCCAGTGGGACTTGCTGCAGTGTAGGGTAATGTTCAGAGTGAGCCAAGGTGGACAGCCAGTTTGTATTACCTAAAATCTGCACAGCACCAGTGCCTTGGAGACAAAGTGTATTTTATTAGTGCGTGGGAGAAACTGCAACATCGTTTTGTAATGTTTTTGGTAAGCAAGTTGATTATTTAGTGTTTTTCTGCTCTTTGTACCAAACATAAGGGGTGAAGGAAGGAGGCTGGGTTTTTTGCCCAGACATTTGTGGAACCTTTATTTTGTTCTGAACTATCCAAATAGTAGTTCTGGAGTTGTTTAAGACAGCTGTTTGGAGAAGAAGGTTAAGGTCAGACTGTTAGAAAATGTTTTGCATACTTTATGTTGATTTGTCTTAATTGCCTAAAATGCAGGAGAATCAGGATGACTGGCTGGATGTATTAAAGTCCCTGCAGAAGGCAGAGTCCCAGACATTTTGTGCTTTTACTGCGATGACACCAAATTAATTTTTCTTTCCAGAATGATTTATAAAGGCTTCTAGAATTGTCTATATTGTCACACTTTCAAACCTTAGACATGTAACCCTTTTAGTGGGGTCTCTAATGGGGCAATTAAAGGTTGCAGACCAAAGCAACTAAAGAGTATCCTTAGAGCCATCTAGTCCAAGACTTTGCTAAATAATTTTTATTTCGTGGAGGAGATGACAGGCTCGGCAGAGGCACAACAGGTCATAAGGCACAACTTCTAATAGATTTTAGTAAGCATGAGGAAAATATTCTTTAAGTATTGAGAATATCTGCTATGCTGTTTCACTTGTGGCTCTGGAAGTCTCTGGTTGGTGCTTCACTCAGGCAGCTCTGAGATGTTACCTGGCACTGCAGAGCTATAGCAGGAGCCTTAGAGATGTGGTGCACATTACTCTCCTGTTTCTTTGCTTGCCTTTCCTTTTGTGATATTTTTGAGGGGCTGAGACCAGCAGCTCTTCAGTCACCCTAACTTGTCAAGACTGTCTTAGGAAAGAATGTCTTTCCTCTCCCAAAAGTTGAGGTATCATATTTACAATGGGACCTTCTTATCATTTTAAAAACTGGAAATTAAGAGCTCCATTACTGACAGAAGGGAATATAAACATGCCACTTGGAGCAATCCAGTAGGGACTGAGGCTGGCAGCAAGTTTTAGCCTGTGACTCACTTGGAGCAGTAGCCTTGAATCACTCCTGCTTGCTGACAGATTGCTGTTCAGAAGGGGCCAGCTCTGATCTTGATTCAGTGAAGGTCGTGCTGCAGATTCCTGATGTGCAGAAGTGCAATTAGGACAAAAATCAGGCCCAAAGAATTTCAAATTTCAACAGTGTCCAGTTGGGTAAGGAGTCAGTTCTGGGATATCTTTTATGTCCTAACTTGTACAAGGTGTGTTCCTACCCCCAGCTTATGCAGTGGTGCTTCTGGAACATTACAGCTATTAAAATGTGATGGTGCAACAGAAAGTCCAGGCAAGATCATCATGGGATAGGGGAGCATTTTGTTCTGCGTGAAGGAATTCACCACTGAACGTGCAGTGTATGTAGTTAGACTTTAGGAGAATGATGGTACATGTCTCCACAGATACAATCAGAACATCTGGAAATCCCTATGTGAATATTGTCCAATTTGTTTTAAAGAAATAGGATTTTGCCTTACTGAGATATCTGTAAGGAAAGGTTGGTCAAGCAGCCTCTCAGTCTTCATCGCCCACCCCAACCCAGCTTCCATCCCTGCCCCTATCCAGGTTCTCAGTAAATGCCTTAGTCACAGCCAAGTGACTGCAGTCTGAGAAGGCAGGTAGCAGAATGGGAAGTGCTCTTCCATAAAGAAAGGCATGTCGGAGTAAGCCACGTATCACAAACTCCTTCTAAAACACCCCAACTGTAACAGAAACAAATATCATATTGGCAATACCATAATGTTTGCATTCACACACCAGCTGTTACTCTTTCCCACAGGGTCTTGTTTTTTAAAAGGCTGGTAGAGGAAGATTTTGTTAAGCAGCAAATCTAGTCTTATTTCCTATATTGACTGTATATAATTTTCCCTGGAACACTGGATTTTTAATTTGTTTTTTATATTTGTGTGGTACATGTACTAACACATAATGGATTCTCCTTCCAGAATATTTTTGACAGGCTGACAGTAAAGCGTGGTGCACTCTGTAATTTAAAGCCATGCATACTTCTCTTATGGATTATTGGATTATCAGATTTGGGTTTGTTAAACATTGTGTATGACTGAGTAATTGGCATGCTAAATTTATGAATGACTGTTAATGAATAAACTTCTTTTACTGAAACTGAAATAGCAAAGCTATTCCTGGACCAGAAGGGCTGGTAGATTTTTGGCCTGTAATAAATTGAACATGTAACACAAAGGGGGAGAGGAAAAAAAAGGGAAAAACATTGTGTAGAGTCAGTTCTAAGCAGGAATTACTGATTTATTTTTTTTTCTAATTATTTTTTTCCTGCTTGGAAAATGATTGCAATATATAAAGCAATTTGATTTCATCCTCCCCCAGCAATTGAATTAAAGCATTTTCAAATGTTCTTAAATGTTAATTTTGGGAAAACTAAACTTCCAGAAATACCTTTTGTATGCAATATGACCTAATCATATATACCACATATGCACGTATATAATTTATGATACTATGAACCTTCTCATTAGAATCTGAAGTGACTTGTTTACCAAGGTTTTGAGTGCCCAGGACTGTACTTGATGTGCTGAGAACCTGTAAGTGCTCACATGTGTTGAGTGATGCACAAGTGGGTATCAATTTCACTTGTTCAGTCTGTTCAGAGGAGACGTGGACAGAGGCTTCAATACCAAGGCCATAGGAAATGCAAACCTGAAAAGACTCTTTTATTTTCCTTTTGCTTTCTAGTGTTTGTGCTGTTTAATCTTTGTTTGTTTGTTTGGGGGCTTTTTTTTTTTTGTTTGTTTGTTTGTTTGTTTGTTTTTTTCCCCAATGCTTCAACACTGTTTTTAACTAAGAGTTTATTGCCACATACATGTTCTCCCTTTCAATCCACCTCACTATATTGTGTGACACACTTGTGTCTGAGTGTCACAAGATGAGAAAGGATGACTCTGAAGTATCGGGTATTGGACATTGCTTTTCAGAGATTGATGATTTTAGTTATTTCTAGAATTTATTTTTTGGCTTTCCTAAACATTAAATGCTTTGAGTTCATGTTGCAGTCTTGCTGTCTCTGATTTCCTGTGGACTTACAGAAAAAGTGGGGATATCTCGATTTTTATGCCTGGAAAGACTTTAGTGTTCAAAAGGAAAGAGAATGCTAGCTAGAAAAGTCTGGCCAGTATCAGCAGGTCTGCTACTGTGAATCATAAGGTAAGTATTATACCAGTGATGTGTATGCAAATAACGTCTGTGTTTTCCCATTAAACTACAACATGACACTTTGGTAAAATGCAGAAGTAAGAGCCACGCAACTGAAATGAAGTCTAAGACTGATGAACAAGTTCAGGTCATGACAGAGGTTTTTTTCTCCAATTGTATTTGGCATCTCTCACTTGCTACAGCAGGCTGCATCTTTCGTGCAAATATAGGAGCTTCTACCTTCCAATATTTTTTTGTCCATTTAATAAAAGCACTGCTAGGATAGATGGACATGAAACAGTTCTTTAAGACTAAAGCTATTCCTTCTATCTTAGCCTTAAACAGAAACTGAACACATCTAAACCACAGTCAAAATATAGCTGGGCGATAATGAATATAACTGCAAAAAGCTCCCCACGTCCCCTTTGGCTTTTGCTTATATTCTGCAAGGGAAGAATACTCAAAACAATGTAAGAGAAAAAAAAGTTGAGAAGGAAGGAGGTTATTTCTTTGCTTTCTGTGACTTTAGAACAGAGCAATCTGAGGACAGAGGGTGAGCCCTCACAGATGAGCAGTGAAAGCATCCCACGGAACTCACCTGCAATATGAAGAATGGGGAGGGGGCGAGGTGGGAGTATTTACCCGGGCAAATTCAAGTGCAGCATTGCCAGCCGCCACTAGCTGTCACTTTGCAAGCAGCCGGGGTCGGTGTTTTCAGCACTGCGGTTGGCGAGATTGCGGTGCTAATTAAACGGAGTAACTCCCAAAGCCGCGGAAAGTCCCGAGCCCAGGGGCTGTGCGTGAGCCAGGCTCGGGGGACCCGGGGGGAGGCCAAAAGGCAGCTCGGGGAAGGCGGGACGTGGCTGTCCTGAGCCGGGGCTGTGCCCGGGGGCTGTGCCCCGAGCTCGGGCTGTGCACGGCGCTCCAGCCCGCACACGCTCCTCGCGTAAAGCCGAGCCTTACCTGAAGAAAACGATCGTCTCCCACACGTAGACTCCGAGCGCGTTGACGTTGCACATTTTTCCAGCTCTCGCTGTTTGTTGTTGTTGTTGGGGGTTTTGTTGTTGTTGTTTTGGTTTGCCTTTTTTTTTTTTTTTTTTTTTGTTACTCCGTGAGGGGTGGGGCGTTGGGGTTGGCCAAAAGTAACCCGGCACTTAGGGAAGAATCGGTGGGGGGAAAGCGAACCAGCCTGCCGGGCGCAGGCCGGGAGGGTCCGCTCAGCACCGCGGAGAGCGGCGGGCCCCGCTGCAGCACCCGGACAGCGCCCGGGGCGCGCCCGCCCAGCACCGCGGAGAGCGGCCCCGCTCCGCCGCCGCCTCGGCTCGTCCCTCCTCCGCCGGGGCCCCCGCCACCGCCACTGCAGTGCTGCTGGGGCCGGAGCACCGGGCTGCCCGCGCCGAGACCTCCCTTCAGCGGGATGTCGCGCCGGACATCAGGCTGGCGAGAGCGAGAGGCGCAGCGGGTGTAGGTTTGCCATCGGGGTGGCGGGGCTGAGACGGGAGGTGGGGGGCGCGACGACCCTCAACAACCCCAGGGTTTAATCTCCGCTGCTGGCCGGGGTGTCTTCCTAGTTACATCCACAGGAATTTGTCAGTGTGGAGCCGTGCTGCAGTCCCGGTTGTGTCGCTTTCCTGCCCGCCGTTTGGATGCTGTTGATTCCTGCTTCCTGGGCTTTTTTCCTCCCGAATAAGTTATTGCTGCTGTAGGGAAGGTGTCCCATTGCTCAGGGCTAGAGCGGAGGGGAGCGAAGGGGAAGTTTCTTGGGAAGCACTTCCATTGTGCTCGGAAAGAAAGTGGCTCACTGTCCTCCTAATGCATCTCATTTCCTCTCTGCCCTCTCTCCCCTGCTAGGACTCGCCAGATCTTGGGAGTTTCTTGCTGCATTAATTTACTAAACTAAAAAAAAAAAAGGAAAAAAAAAAAGAAAAAAGAGAGGGGGAGGTGGAGATGAGGGAAGGCAGAGGGGAGGGGGTAACTCAGCCTCTCCACCATCCCAAGGCCCTCCTCTTAGCTGTGCTCATTGGTCTCGAGGCTGAAAAAACTACTCTAGGACGTGGTTGGATAAACGCATGTTGTTCAGCAGAGGCTGTTAACCTTTAAAGCGCTGATACGTTTTGGTTTATTTCAATATTTTTAACCCGAATTGCTGTCTTTTTAAGAAGTCTCTGAAATCGTCTCCCTTGACAGGGCAAGCGTAACGTGCCTTAAATCTCCATCTCGTGGAAGATCTGCTTGGCTGGCAGTTGATATGTGTTGCTGTTGGCTTTTAAGGAACATCTCTGTGGTTTTGGGGTTTTTCGTTTGTTTGTTTGTTTGGCTTTGATTTATTATTTTTTTCCTTTTTATCTTTGTTTTATTTGATTTTTTTTTTAATTTTTTTACATTTGATTTTGCAAAGAGGTTTGGCAAACACCAGAGCCATCAAGGCCAGGGCAGGTAAGGAGCATTTAGTAGTTACTTATTGCAGCTCCAGCTGTGCTCACAGGGTGCTGAGCATGGTGGTCGGGGTGGGGAGGAATGGTCTCAGTCACTTTGTCTCAGGCACTTTGTCAGCTCCTCACCAGCTTCTGAGAATTGAAATGAAAACTTAGCTCTCCTAAATGATCTAGCATATTGTTTTCTTCTCTATTGTCCTGGTGTAATGGGATCTTTCTTATTTAGGTTCTGTTTTGTTTACCTGTCCTGTGCTTTGCAAAACTCCTCATGGCAAAGAGTCACTTTTAACCCCTTTTAAGCTGCTTTTAATCTGTTCAAGGACTCCTGTCCCACGTTGGAAGGGTAGAGGTGAAATGGACTGCTTTCTCCACCACTACTGAAGCCCCACCAGGCTAGGAAATAACTTTTTCTTCTTAGTTTGGGTTGCATCTCAAAGGACCTTACTGCCATACTAAAACTTACCTGATGTTTCCGATCTCCTGTTTTTATTTGTTTTAAAGCAGTATGTTTACTTAGTGAAGCAGACAGAAATATCCTTTGGGTTACCAATCAGAAGAAAAGAAAGACCTGCTTGGCTTCTAGCCATTGGTACAGTGGGAATTTAATCAGATTTACTCCAGCTCCTGGGTCTCAGTGTCTAGCTAGATTAATAACAGGCTCTGATTTCAACTCATGGAGATTCCTGGGGACATGATTCCATGCAGTGTTTCCTGCCTGCTGCTTGCTGGCTCCACACTTTACTTTCCCTCTTGACATTTATCCCCACATGGATGAGCCTCTGTCACTGTGCTTTTCCAGCCCCCAGTGTGCTGACAGACCAGAGGAGGAGCTCCAGACTGGGCGTGTTAACAGGACCCACATAGCTGGAAAGCAATGGTGTTTCCTTGATTTTTTTTGTTTGTTTGTTTGGTTTGGTTTTTTACTGGAAACAGGACAAAGAACAGGAGGCAGAATCGTCTCCTGGCATCTGTGGGTTAAGTCTAGAGGCTGTAAGCCTCCTGGTTCCCTTAGAAATGGAAATGGGCTCTGTAAGAGATATGACTCTCTCACATGGTGTTTCCCTTGCCTGTAAGATTGATCTTTTTTATACTAAAAGTATCTAGACTTGTCTCATTTTGTCCCCACTTGCTCTCCTGGCACTACCTTGGGTTAGAGAAGAAGGATGACTGTGCTTAAGATCAAGAAAGCAGATGAATCTGTGTGTATATAAGATAAAGAATCTTCACAGCTATTCCTGTTGAAGGGTCTGAAAACTGCTTTTCCCGGGGAAAGAACTTTTTTGCTTTGCTGTCATCTGTCTTGGTGGTGATGGCGACCAAGTGATTTGTGTGGGCCCAGGGACTCTTCTGCTGATATTCAAACTTCTTTATGGAGAGACTCAGGAACACTGTTTGCTTTGACATTGGGGAAAATGGAGGCAAAACCTGGTTGCTACAGATATCTGGAACAGGTCAAGGCATCAAGGTGATTTAGACCAAGGAGTAAAAACAAAAGAAATGTAAATGTAAGGAATATGAGTTTTGTCTTGTCATGATGACCCCAAAGGAACCACACCTTCTGCATTACGTGTTTGTCTGTGCTCTGGTATCTCCCTCTCAGTTGCTTGTCTTGGTGCAGTGCCCTGCACATGCTCTGTGGATGTGTCAGGCCTTGGTCAGGGTGGCATCAGATCCTTGGAACTCACGTCCAGTGATTTAACCCAGGTGATTCAAGAAACAGCCAACCAGTCCTCAGTGCAACCCATCAGTAGGGATATCCGTGATGAAGTCACCCACATTGGTTCTGTGCAATGCCAGATGTTTAGGTTTTCTTTTGTTCTCCAAGAAGCTAAGGGCAGATAAACTGGAAATAGGTCTGGAGATCTAATAATGCCTGGAAGTCAATTTTATCACCGTTATTTTAAGTAACCCTTGTCATCAGGTACTCCTCTCCCTGGATCTGTCCTGACTTGCTCTGAGATCAGGTTTTAGCTTTCTGCTTGGTTTAGCTGCAGTGCTTTGTGATTTATTTTTTGGGGGGAAGGGTTCACTTGCCAGGTCTCCCATTTTTCAAGCAGAGTCCAAATGCTTCTGAAACGCATTTGTCTTTCTTTGGCAGCACTTGTACAAATGACAGAGTTGAAGATAACTTACCATGATGTCAAATGAGCTCCTAAAATTAGACTTACCTGCTGTGCGTTCATCTTGTTTTTAGTTTCAGAGTAGATGAGTCTTGTAAAACTCACTTGTAGGTGAAGTTGTCTGGAAAGCTTCTGTGTCATTGCCTTTCTGGGTTGTGAGTGATGGATTTTGTTCAACATAAGACACCACAGAGATAATGGTTTTAATTTGTTTTCAACACTCAAGTGAAATTTGGGGACACCTGAAGAAAAGGGTGTACATGAGGAGTGACAAAAGCCAGGGAATATCTGTTTCTCCAGTTTCTTTTAGGTGGTTCCTCCCTGATCCTTTCCCTTTGAAGAATGCAAATGAATTACTTCTCTGTGGAGAAAATGAATATTCCTGGTAGTCTGTGACTTCATTTTGGTTTTGGTAGTTGATAGAATACTTAAAGACATGGAGAATACAGAAAGCCTTGGACAGCACTCAGTAATGAGGTGAACATGCACCCTATGCTGAGAATTAACCTAAAGCCTCATTCAGAACTGGAAGTTGATTTCATTCTTGATCTCTTTTTTGTCTCTGGATTTTATAGCAGGTAGAGTAAATTTTAATTTCTTTTACTTGCCGTTTAAAAATTCACATTCTGATAATAAATTCATCATGGGGACAAACGCCTTCAAGTTGGCCATTGACACACACTGCCTTCCTTCACCAAATAAATGACAGGATTTTTGGTGAAGAAGTGGCTGGCAGAGCAGTGAAGTACACTCAGCCTGTCTCGGGAATACTAAATCCATTATTGTCAGTTTGTTCTTTGGAGAATGGCTAATGAGGAAACAGTGCCCCAAGAACTTGGATTGTGCTTCTCAAGGCAGAGATTCAAATTGCTACAGCAGCACTCCTTGCCTTTTGACACTGAACAAATGAAAAACAAATTTTAAATTAGAATTAAGTTCAGGGAATTTTGCAAAGGGTTCTATAAAGTAATTTCCTATTCAGCTAATTTCCATGTGCAGTAAGCTATTTCTCTGCAAGATGGTTCAAGTAAATACAATTTTCTTAGAAACTTGAGAACCTGGGGTACTTTTTTAGTCAAAATAATTGCCTGTAAAATAACACCATAAAGTGCTTCTGCAGTGTTTTTTAAAGTGTTTAGTCAAGATTCTTTACTGAAAAGATTTACAGATGAAAGAGAATTCACTGGAACTAGTGTAAAGGTCCATCTTCCATCCATAGTTCAAAAAATATGTTTAAAATTGAACTCTGATGAAAAGTTTGATCAATTCTGTTTTGATATGCATTGGCTCTTTGGAAAACAACCCCTGGAATGTCTTGCATAGGAAATTCAGCAAACTTGCAGCCTAAGGTTGGAAGGCTGGTAGGGGTGGAGGTGAGGGATTTGTGGTATAGGTGATTGATGTTTTTGACTGAAATTCAGATCAAATATCACTGTTGATGGTATTTTACTTCATGTGTTTTAAAAATTATAGCTCTAACTGTGTTTGAGGTTCAGCCCTACATCT